ATATCATTAAAATTCTCTACAAATAATCTTTGGTATGTTCGGTAAATATATAAATATATATAGGTGGTGCTTAACTTTTGGCGGACTGTATACTATTGATATCTCTGATTGTTTCAGTATTAAAAGTGTAATGAACATGAATTGTAGATTAAGTTTGGGCAGTTGTATACACCCCCTTTTTGTGGTCTTTCCACATAAAGAAATACAAAAAATCTGCAGGTTTTGTGATTTTATATGAATTGCAAATGTTGAACAAATTCATTCTCAATTGAGAAATGACGATTTAAGGGTTCGAGGTACAATGTATGTATCATTTGAATAAAAATATTATCTATGTAGTAATTTGCTGTCATTTCAACTTGATTCAAACTCAATTATGTATATTTTATTGTTTTATAAAAAAAAAACACTCCACCCCTAGTCCTATAATATAAAACTTCATAGGTTCATATTGTTTGCATTCAACGTAAAAATATCCGATAAAAAAACGTAGATGTTATAGCAACTATAGATCATCGTACGGCCTTCATCAATAAGCAAAACCCGTACCGCAATAAGCAAGTCACAAAAGGTCCAGACATAACAAAATGTTACGCATTCCAAACGAGAAAACAAAAGCCTGATTTATGCACAAAACAACAAACGAGTAACAAATATACCGACGGACTTTAACAACGCAACACTAGATTATTCTTTTTTATTATCATTTTTAAATATGCAATTTAAAAAAAAAGAAGATATAAACATGAATTTCATTCATTTCTTTATTGTCTAAAAAGTGTTTGCATTTCGAAAGTTGAACCGATGACGTCATTTTTAATGTTCAAATCATTTTTTTTTTAACAACAAATAAATATTCTTTATTCTTCAGAATGCTTCTTACAATTTTACTTCACTGTCCAAGCTCCAATAAAGTATCCCTGTGAAATACTTTCTGAGTATCAAGGACAATACTCAGAATATAATAAAATATGAACGTTTTTTTCTATTATATCAATCTTTTTAAATAAATGAAAAATACATTTTGAGATACTGTTTTGTTCTCATTCATAACCCTTCGTATTTCTTTTATAAACATATTATACACATCTAAAAATTTTAGTTTTTGCTCGGAGACATAATATGACTTGTAAATACAAAAACCTAAAACTGTTCAAATCATGTGGTATGCACTGAAACCGTGGTTTTCCCCTTATCAACAGATATGTCACCGTCGAAGGCAATGACTGCCTGTAACCAACGCCAAAATGATTGTCAGAAAGGTCAACCAAGTCTGTTGGGCATGTTTTGAGTTCTTTTTTGTACCTTCTGATTTTTCCTCTGTCCCATGCATTACAGTGTGTTTTGGCAATAAAACGGATTAAACTTTTGGGCTTTAAATGTTTTTATGCAGACAATTCTTTGGCATTTCAGTATATGGGAAACATTTTTGGCATGAATCTGTCTGTCATGGCATTCGGCGACAAGATTAGCAGTTGCCGTTGTGGCCGTAAACATGTCTCGCAAATGACGTAGCATAATCTAATTTTATTGACGTTGCGTTGTCACTACATGTTGATCTGGTCATCAACAAATCTCGTCTGCTTGTACCATTGTTTTAAGGACAGTAAGGCGAGTTTCTGATGTGAAATTGTTTGGAAACAGCACGTTCACGTATTGCAGTCTGCAATATTCTTATGGTTTGATTAAGATTTTCATTGCTCAGTTTCGGCAATATAGAGATGCAACATTTTTTTAATGATTCAAGTGTGGGAATGTATTGAAAGAATTGTTTCACGAAAAAAAACCTTAAAACAATCAATTATGGATTTCAGATTTTGCCCAAAGAAATTTGTGCGACTTCAATAATCCGGTATTTTCAATAATCTCAGGTAAGTCAGGTGTTATTTTTTTCTAAATATAAAGAAGTATGGTAAGCATGAATAGTAGTTCTATGATGATCAGTCACTATTTTGTAAAAAAAAAACCCACAAAAATATGTGTTGCGTTTCTAAATTCCGTCAGTGTATGATACACAGCAACGAACGACAACCACTAAATTACAATCTCCTGATTTGGGACAAGCACATAAATAATGCAAGTCAAACATATTTTTGTGAGTTGTAAATTACACCACAGACTTTCTTTATCCAAATAAATTCGAAAGTACATAATTATTACCAATTCACCATGATAAAGAAGGTTTATAATGTAATGTCTTTCGGATTCAAACTAATTAAATTTGAATAGCGATGCAAAATTTTAGATATTTAGCTTGCAAGTGAAAACAAGTTGCTTTCTTTAAAAAAATAAAAGCAATACGTGAACCTAATACCGCTGACTGGTCACCAAAAGATTGTTGCTGAATTTTTGTTTGCTTTTGAATTGAAATAATTGACTGTGAATAGAAGGAGATAATGATGAAGTTAAACTACCTTTATTAACAATATGTAATAGTGTGTACATTCTTGCACAAGTCATTTGAAAGCAATGTTGGATAGGTGTGAATAGAAAAGTGTATATACAGCTTCTATTTGAATATACATTTTAAAGCTCGACTATTTCATTTATTACTTGGGATTGTACATAATTTTTTTATAATCCTATTGCAAATCCCAGTTTCTACAAACCGGATGTATAATGCAAATTGCACAAACCAATCGCAATATAAATTTAAGCGCTCAGTTTGCTTTATAATCTGGATGCATTTATTTTATCTATCACATTTTTATATTTTGTTTCCTGCATGGATGCCTTCATATTCTCAACTCGTTATTGAAGTTGTCTGGTAGATGTTGTACATGTGAAGTGAAACCCTGTGGCATGCAACTTATAAGGTTTTGTATATTTTTCTTGGGAGTTACACACCAGCTTCATTTGGACCTCTTCAATAGAGACTTATTTTGGCCTCATAAAACATTTCAAATTTTTAGGATTTCCTAATTTTACTTCAATCAATCCAAATATTTTGGTTTTGAAGAATATCTTATTTTCAGAAGTTTTATGAATAACTGAACATACTCTCAAAAGAACCAATTTATATAAAAAGACATGTAGATATAAAAAAAAAATACCAAGTCTACAAAGAATCATCAGTGACGCTCGAATAAAAATAGTTAAAAAGGCCAAATAAAGTACGAAGTTAAGTAATCTATTCCTTGGGTAGAAAATCCTTGGCATTTCGAAAATGTCAAAGTTTATAAAAGGACAGTGACCCAAAAAAGAAAACAAAAGAGAAACAGCTAGAGGTCAGAATACCGTAAGCAATGATGACCGTGCTTGAAAGTCACATGGCAAGCTCTTATTGTCGTGTCCTGAATTTAGATAAGAAAAGCGAAAATTCGCATTCGCGAGTGAAATCAATATTTATGCATAAACGTGGTATTTTTGCGTCAGAAATAGTAAATAGAAAGCATACGGACTGATACTCTGGATAAGAATACGCATTTGCGTCATCACATTTATTAATCTAATAGTTTAATTCGGATGTCAAACTACCTACCTCAAGTGTTTTGACTCCGGATTCATTGGCATTTTATCCGGAATTTTTGTGAACGCAAACCGATAGTGTGCGTGTGAACAGGGTGATGTATAATGTGAATGAATCACGATGTGTAGGATAGCTGACCAACACAATGAATACAATTTTAAAAACCGTACCATAGTACAAATATTTAGATGCTATAAGGTTGAACTAATAAAATATAAAAAGGTAAAAAAATAATTAATATTATGATAGTAATTAATATTTTGTTATGATTATTGTAAAATATTGATTACGTTTTATGTGAGATGCAAGGATTTAAAATCCTTGTGAATTGAAACCACGCAAGTATTTTTTCATTCACGACCGTTTACAATTTAGATATTTAGCTAACTTTGGGTACGCATCTCTGCTCATCGGTGCTCATACGTTACATATAATTTTCATAAATGTTCTGACTGATCAAACCTGTGAGACATAATGCACGAATACATTACAATTTTAATTAGCATTCTATAATTATTAGGAATAAATTCTGTCTCAGTTTTACCTTAACAATGAATATTCTCTTAGTCTGGTAGTATCTATTAATGATTTTTATTATGATCTGTTTTTATATTTAAATGAAATCTATGGATCCCGTAAAATTTACGACTCCAGAATATCTTTCACAGTTGATTAGTATTTGAAACATCGGTACTAAATATATAATGCTGAAATTTTCATTCTTATGCAACGATTTTGTTTCCCTTTTTGGAAGAGGATGCATTTAAAAAAAATAAAATGTTAGACTAAATGTCTTGAAAAATGCATTGCTTGTTTTGAAATGGAATGGAAAAAGTAGTTTATTTGGATTTTCTACTGAAAATTATTTCTAGTTTAATAGATTTATTTTGAGTCCATGTATGACGTTAAAATACGGTTGTCAATCAATTTAAGAAGGCGGGACAAACTGTCATTGGTATCCAATGTACAAAGTGTTTAATAGCGGTGATGCTTAAACACATCGAATGACATTGTCATGAATAAATGACAATGTTGTATAGACAACAAAAGGGGCTACTACATAATCAGATTGTTTAATCCTAATTCAAAATAAAGTTTAAATTGACAAGCAGCTTTGTAACCACTGTCATGATGATGGGTTTAATGATCGCACTTATCATCGCATTTATAGTTGAAATTTATCGAATTTAATAATCAATATGTTTGTGTCTTTAATAATGTTAGTGTACATTGAAAAGTCTTATTCTATTGGAATGATGTTAAAACGTAAATTCAAATCGATTGTTTTTCCTCTTCAAATGGAAACAAACACAATTTTCCCAAACATCCTTTATTTTACAATACATTTTGTATACACTGTACATCATGTGCACGGAATACGTTCATGTACTGTTATGTAGAATGCTGATTAACTTGTCGACAATATCGTTTCGTATAAAGTCTTTTCTCGACAACGACATAACCTACAAAATCATTTTACCGTAAGACACAATAAAAAATATAATAGTGCAAAGTGGGTTTGTCTTCATCCTGTCATTCAAATTTATAACGTTACACAGGTAATACTGGTCGATATTGAAATAAAAGGTACACTATTAAATGAAATAAGTCTTAGCGTGTTGGATATAAACATTTGGTGTAAGTTTTTTTATTTGTATCATGATTACTGTAAATTCATAAACTATTGCTCGCATTTATTATTGCAATTTTTGAAGAATGGACACAAATGCGAGTTCTTATTATTGCGATACTCAACCAGTCGAGTCGCATTATTTACATATATAAAAACCTCGCAATAATTCTTGATTTTACAATAATTAGATTGGTAATTGTAAAAATTCTTTATTTATTATTTTGAAATTTGAAGAACAGTGCTAACATTAACAATTCATGCAAAGGGTTGCATTTGATTAAAATATCAATTTTATTATATTGAACAGGCTCTTGTATTTTTGTATTTTTCTTTTTCGCAATTGATGTTTCAAAATAATTTTTCATATTCTGTATTTTTTCTAAACATCTAGCAACAGGGTTAAGTTAATGAGCACGAGTTCTTATATACTCAAATCTTATTTTTTTTAAATTTTGGACGAAGATGTTGGAGTGATAGCTTTTATTGTCATCGTTTTCTCTTTGAAAATTATATCGGTTGATTTTGTTTGTTACGTAAAGCCATATTTCTGAAAAGAATACTTGTTTTGGCCACTTAAACAATTTTAATGGAAGACTTATTTCAAACAGTTATGTATTTTTTTTATAAAAAAAAATCTTGAAATACTTGAAAAAAAAACCACGCGAGAGAGAGAAAAATGGCTAAAAAAAAATAACCAACAAATAAAACAAATAGCAGTAAAACGATTGATGCATATATCTGTTGAAATACTGATCATGGACTTGAATGATTCAAATCTCCATACTTTAAGTGTTGGTTAAAGATGTTCTATACGTATAAGAGACGCACAGAAAAGCAAATTAATTTATACTTTTTTATAAAATGAAAATGTTTGACATACACAAATGCATTTGCATTTATATATATATTTATAAGTTATTCTTAAAATTGAGATGATTTTTCTGGTTAATAAGAAACACTCGAATTTGATGAAACATTTCCGATTTCATGTGACGGTAAATTATGGTGAAAGTATTTTACATTAAATTGGTAGAAAACACTTCAATAGTGGCATGATTCAAATAACAAATAATACATTTGCACTGTAGAATGAAGAAATTTATTTTCAAGCATATATATAATTTTGCTTTGTCATTTGATTATATGGTTTACATTTCAAATAGTTTTGCATCGAGCATTATTGAAGAGACATTTATTGTCGAAATGAGCATCTGTTGCAGAATAATTGGAACCGTTAATGCTATTCAATAATAATATGTGATGATTCAAACTCTCTTTATTCTTTTTTTTTTTCAAATGAAATCTTCAATGAGGCAAATCCAATCATTATTTTTGCTACTCTTCGATATTGTAATAATCGAATATAATCAAGAACAGTTACCTAGATTGAACTATAAATATGGTATGTAGATAAATGATCGACATTTTTATAGTATCTGAAATGTAACTTTTAATCAATGAATAATATAATTAGATGATAAGCCTCTCATAAAGGGTTATCTGTATATGAATAATTTTGAACTGACAACTTGCAATACAAGAAATTGTACTTGAGATATGAATTCTGATGAAAACACTTATCGCGTGTCGCATGTGGAACAGGATCTGCTTACCCTTTCAGGGCACATTAGATCAACCCCCGTTTAAATGGGTTTCTATGTTGTGTTTTGTATACTGTTGTTTGTCTGTTTGTCTTTTTCTTTTTTAGCCATAACATTGTCAGTTTCTTTTTGACTTATGAGTTTGAATGTCCATTTAGTATCTTTCACCTCTCTTTTAAATGATTTCAAGTAAGTCAGTAATATCTTTACATATACGTTAGATTGGTTAACTTCTAATCTGTACTGCATCAGAATTTAGAGCTCGGAGATATGCATTCGGAATGAATATCGACAAACAAGCAGACAAATGTAAATACTATGTTGATACCCTGACATCCTACCCTAACGCTTTATTAGAAAACAATAATTTTTGTCACCCGTATCTGTTATTCTCATTTGTGACCAATCACCAATGACCATCAAATGGAAAATTTCAGGGATGGTTAAAGAGTATTCCATAATATTACCTGTCGTGCATAAAACAAAAACATATAGACATTTTTGTTGTTTTTGTTATTGGAAAGGCTTGATAACTTTGATTCATTTACCATATGGCTGACATGCGATATCAAAAATTCTTTATTATGGAACTCGCATATCTAGTTACAAAACCAAGGCTTTGCTATATCATGTTATATTCATATTAGTCAACTTGTATCCTAGAAATTTCACTAGGTTTCTTATTGTATTCTGGTTAAAAATGCTGTTTCAATATAAATTCAACTGGGATGTCATATTTTCACTTGATTATTTCTTAAAATGTTTCGCTTAACTACCCAATTTATGCTTTTTTCAATATCAAAAGAATTCAAAGAGCCTGAATTGTTCATCTTGAAAATTCTTTATTTATTTCATCTACTAGTAATTTGCGTTCAGAATAACTTTTGTTATTTACCTAAAAATCAGGATTTTTTTTTCTATCACAATCTTCAAAATTCATCAAATTCGTTACTAAATGCAATAACTCTCACATTGAGGGTTTCATTCGTATTAACATTTATCTTGTATTGTAAATCTTCTGTGCCTTTTCGTTTCTTTCTTTCGTTCTATAATTGGTAAACAATAATTTAACAAAGTATAAAATTCAATCAAATAATTTTGGTAGAAACAGAAAGAGGGTCTATCTTTAAATTATGACCATTTTCTCCTCTAAAACCCTTCCTTTTTATGATTGTTTTCATAATATTATGTAATTATATGCATTTTAACCTTTTCTTCTACCTTGGCAAGGTTTGTTGGTTGACATGGAAAATCACAACCTTAATTTTAATGATCATGTACGCCATTTGTTCGGTTGACCTTATTAAGAATATTTGAGAAGCAATGAAGTTTTAACATATTTATCTTGGATGACAATGGATAACAGAAGACAACTTCCAACAGCAAGTGATTGCAAACACTTGCAAAGTCAATAGAGAGATTTGAGCTATAACATAAGTAATTTTATGAAATGGCAAATTTTCAACTAAAAATATTAGAATACAGGAATGAAGCTCAATCAACACATCAGTCCAGCTTAATTGCTGCTGAAAGAAACTTGCATAAACTCAGATTTGTAAAGAAGTTATCCTTCACCAATATCATATGGTTGACAAATCCCTAATTGATTTTCTGCTCTGGAAAATTGAATGCCGATATTCAAAATGGGTACAAAAAATACATATCCTTCGATTTTCTTAAAATTTTCACATACTACTTTTGCTTGTATTTGGCATCGAAATTCGTTTAGAATAGGGGTGTTCAAGCCTGGGGAGAAATTTGTACCCATTTTAAAGTAGGGATCCCAACTATTTTATAAATGTTTCTTTGCATGTGCGGAAGATTTCAAAATTAGAAGAGTTTCTGTCTTAAAAGTAAATGTTCATTCAAATTCAAATGCCACGAAAAAGTAAATCCTTAGTTATCTAACCCCTTTATAGATAAGAATATTTGTCAATAAACTGCAAAATTATAGATTTGTTTTTTTCGAAATTGAAGAAGGCACTATTTTTGTCTTTTTTCATTTACGTCTATTTGTCTGCTACAATTATTATTGTAAAAAATTCTTCGCCTCGATTATTTTTTATACTTAGATATAATAATCGTTGATACATAATGTAAATATTATGAAAATATTAGGCAATTCTTTCTTGCAGAAATGGAGAACGGTCATCTTTATTTTGTGTGTCCCAACTACGGGGTACACAATAGCTTATCATCTCTAGAAAATAATTATCCGCTAAATTTAGAAGAAAAAACCGTAACAAATAATATATTTTGAGACATTAATATATGTTAACTTCTAGTGACATTTTGAAGCAAAATTGTTGGAATCGACCTCAACCGAAGTAGAAGTATTTTTGTTTATAGGTAATAATCCTCTCTTTTAATTCATTACTGAAAATCTTTCTCCATCCTGTAAATACAAAGAAAATGTACATACAATTACTAAATGTATATAACTAAATTCTTCAAAGCAATATTAAACATTTCATTGTCATCATCAACACAAGAATACAAATTTGCCAAACAATTACCAATAAAATACATGTATTATAATTTGCCCCTTTGTTTGCTTAATGAAGATTACAGGCAATAAAAACATAACAAATACATTTTGAGACATTAATAAATGTTAACTACTAGTGACATTTTGAAGCAAAATTGTCGGAATCGACCTCAACCGAAAAACAAGGATTTTTGTTTACAGGTACATTGTAATAATCCTCTGTTTTAATTCATTAGTGAACATTTTTCTCCATCCTGTAAATACAAAGAAAATGTACATACAATTACTAAATGTATATAAATAAATTCTTCAAATTATTATTATTATTATTATATAACCAACAAAATACATGTATTATAATTTGCCCTTTTGTTTTGCTTAATATAAATTACAGGCAAAGAAAACGTTTCAAAGTCTTGAATGTATTGACACTAAATCACACCTTGAATTTGATAATATTGATGAAGTTTGAAAAGGTAATATTGAGAATGGATTTTTATTTTTGTTGAGCCTGCAACATTTATATCGCGAAAGTGAGACATAGCGATCCTAGATTCCGTCGGCGGCGTCGGCATCGTCAACATTTAGGTTCAGTCTGTGGTTTATAATTTTTACAATCAATTAGTTTGTCAAACCTTCATGCAATGTTATGAAATTTGGACAGAAGCTTCTTTATGACCAAAATACAGTATCCAGAGCGAAAAAATATTTATTTTTATTTTCCCGGTTTTTACTGATAAATGCACTTAGTTTTTTCACAGTTAACATTCAGGCTCAGTCTGAGGTTAAAGTTTTTCAGTCATCAAAAAATTTGTCAAACCTTCATCACTGGGGTAAAGCTGATGACCGTAATTGGATTCACGGTCATCCCAAGATGGCGGATGAAAAATTAGGTCAATATCTGTATTGTCTGTTA